ACGCCCTTATACAAAGCTCCTCTTCAGCTTTCTTTTAGGCCCCCTTTAGGTACTGGAAGGCTGCTAGAAGGTCTTCCCTGAGCTTTCTCTACTCCAGGCTGAACAAGCCCAATTCTCTCAGCCTGTCTTCATAGGAGAGGTGCTCCTGCCCTCTGATCACCTTTGTCAGCCTCCTCTGGACTTGTTCCAACAGGTCCATACCTGTCTTGTGCTGGGGGCCCTGGAACTGCACACAGTACTGCAGGTGGGGTCCCATGAGAGTGGAGCACAGGGGGAGAATCAATATTCTACTACTACTTTTTTTTTCACTGCAGAAACTGTATCATTAAGGATTTGTGTAGCAATGAAAGTATAATGTAGCAACTGGAATTATTTGTGTTTATGTCCTCCTTGAATACAGAGCTTTGAAAGTCCAACAGATTGTAGACTTTCGCAGTGGGATGTTTGCTAATATGGATTAATCGTTGGCCACTGTTCTTTCTTGTCTGATATGGATGTCTAAGCATCCATAATGGCAAACCAAATTGGTTAAGTCACCATGAGATCTTTAATTGTAATAATCTCAGAATTCCTATGTGAGCTTTTAACTCCCGTTAAAACCCACACCACAGTTTCTGAGCAGCAGTGGTATCTGTTGTGCTTCTAGGGATGACACAGACTGTGACTGCTGAAAGTTTCAGGAACGAAGCATGTGTTCTTCAACTGCCAAGAAAGCAGACAGAGAAAAGGCTCTGCTCTATGGTCTACCTGCTACTGAGCTGTGACCAGCGCACCTGCTTCTCTTGCCCACAGCTCCCCTGAGCGATGGATGCTTTTTTCTCTGCCTCCTCTTTGAAAAAACAGAAGGTCTTCTCCAGCCCCCCCCCCCCCCATACTTGTGCAGTCTGTTACCTGGTGCGATTTATAGAAGAACATACAGAAGTTGGTGAACACCACCCAAAGCTTCTGCCACCCGTTGCTGTTTTTGAATTTTCTGAGGAGATTCCCAGACAGCTGGTTCTGAAACAGATCAGAAGGAGCCAAATAAAACAGTGGAAGGTACCTGCAGCTTAATTATTGTAAGAAAAATTATCTGCCTTTATCTGGTTGTGTGTGACCTTGTTGTACGTGAAAATGTCTTGGTTGAATGGATGTATATTTCTTCTGCATTGTTCTACTTCTAAGTAGTACTTTAATATATATTGTTTGTAGCTGGGTACTTCCAAAAACTTCAAGCTTCTATACTAGTTTTTTTTTTAATTGAGCTGTCTGTCAGTATTACATCACTAAATATCAGTCTTGTTATCCTAGTCTGGCTTTGCTTTGTTCAAGTGATACTTAAATAGAATGGAAACAGAAAGTCTGACATGGATTTGTGATGTAAAGGAAAATTATGACATACTTGAGAACCACAGATAGAGATTGAGCTCTCAGTACCCAGTGAGTTCACATGGTAACTTTTCAAAGATTTCAAAAGCAAGGACTGTTAACCTTAGTCTTAGCTGAGTTCTGGATATTTTAAGAAAAAGGAGGAGGAAGACATAACCAAGTACGAGTATTTAATGTCTGGCTGACTAGGCTATTCTTCACATTATGACAATGTGAAGTCCAGTATCATTGTGCCTTGCAAATCATGGGGAGTTTTCAGTGAATTAACTCCTTCCCATTCCTTGCTGACTGTAAGGGACCAAAATAGCTGTTTACATCATTCTCTTTATATAATGCAGAAGCTAATAACTTAATCTGTAAAGCTTAACAGTCAAAGTCTGGTGGTCCTGATGTATCTACTTCAAATGAAATAGTCTTGAAAATGTTCTGTCTTCACCAGTCTTGCACATACAATAAAGCCTTTGCTTTGCAATCATCCCCTTCTCCGATATCTGGCCTGGTGCCTCCTTGCCCTAAGTTACAGGCGCACTCCTTAGTTTTCTGTTACCTCATTACTCTGGAGGATATCATAAAAGGACACGCTTTGCATTCGGTACCAGCAGACATATGAAATGGGAACAGGCCGCTGATCACTGATCAGTCCAGCAGGTAGGGAAGTACAGTCACTGACAGAGAGATGATCTTCTACCATGAGAGAGACAGAAAGGAGGAAGAGACACAAAGAAAATAAACGATAATGCTGAAGTGAGAGCCAACAACAGAATGATGTGAGCATGAGCGTAACCTGCCACACATGGAACAGCAGTGGAGCTGAAGATGTTTTCACAGAACAGTGTATGTCTCCAGGGTGTGTTTGGTCTTCGCTGCTTTGTTTGCATTCATTTGAAGAGGAACAAAAATAAGGAACAATGAGCACTGATCTCAGACCAGAAGATTTGCCTAAGTGTTTAATTGTTAGAATTAGTCACTGGTTTAAGTTTTACATCTATTTATAATAAGCCCTCTGCTTTAGAGAAAAATACGAGACCTTGTTCCGTGCTGAACTATTCTTCCCTTGCAGGACATAAGGGTATACAGAGCAAAAAGTCCACCTGCATGGGATTTGAAATGAGCCTCTACAGTCAGCGTTTTTTAGTAGAGAATAATTTTCTTTGTCATGTTTCAGCAACAAACTCACCATCTGTTTAGAAACAGAGGCAGTTACACAAACTATGAGTATGTCTTTCTTAGCATCTCTGTGTTCTGCATCAGTAATACGTCTTGTCTAGAGCAATGGTGGCCTGATGTTTGAGGGCAGCCCCGTGACTGCAGATCCACTCTTTAAAGATTCCTTTTACCATTTCCATTGAGCATACATTTCCATTTGTTGAGAACTGTGGTAAAGTACTCAGAGCTCCCTGGAGACTCTCTTGAGTGAAGGAAGAACACCTAAGCTGGCTTACCACCTCATCCTACAACCTACACTGAATGGAGAGGTTTTTCATTTTAATCTTTGAAAAGCCAATGTCTGCATCTTGTCTGTTGAGTACAGAATTAAGGAATACATATCAAATTGGCTTAGCTGTGATTAGGGAGGGAAAAAAGGATTTTCATTTTGAGGTGGAAAACGCAAATAAAGAAAAAGCAGATGAGACTGAGCAATGAGACAAGGTTCCAGAAAAGATGGCTAGGTAAAGAAAGTATGTTAGTAATACATGTAAGTAAAACTGGCTGCAGCAACTAAAGACAATATCCTTTCAGCTCAAGCAATGACTTAATGCCTCTGTAACAAAGCATTAAGCAGTTCATCCTGCTTTAAATTTTAAAGGGCATCAGCATTATTTTGGACAGTTATTTCTATGAAAATTACTGCTCTAACTGAATTTATGAAGATGCACTACGGAAGTGGATACACGTTTCTTGACTGATGGGTTATGCCATCTTTTAAGGATAGTTGTATAGGTGTGCCTGAAACTTCCCCAGGAGGAGACAACGGAACAGGGAGGAGACAACGGAATAGTGCACTTATTAAGGAGGAGCAAAAAGGAAATTGTCATTCAAGAGCGAATCTGGAGCTGCAGTTCAGATCGTTCTGAGGCAGATACCTCCACAGCAATACTAAAGTCGATCATTGAAACACTGGTATTTCTGTGCCAGCAGACGTGCACCGTAGTGTTGCCACGGTGTGGTGACTGACGTTCGAGTGAGGTGCGGGATGCACTGAGGTCGTCCTCAGATTCCTGGTCTACAGTAGTTTCATCAGGAGACTCTATGAAATGCAGGGAAAAAGCATCTTTCTTCCTCTATGCAACAACATATATAATTGGAAAAAATAAACAAATCAATTCTGTCCACAATATTGTGAACTAAAACACACTTTTAAAAGTAATTTTGTGCAGATGTTAAATAGATTATATTTTTTACGTGTTCATTTCTGGTTTATGTGTTAGAATCACAGACTAACTACCGTGCTTTGTTGCTGCTTTTAATACCTTCCAAGGACAGGCACTGCCCAAATCTTGTTAAATAGTTCCTGGAATCTTTATGCTTAAGTCATTTCTCTATTCAGTGCAACTTTCTGCTAACATCAACAAGAACATTAAAATGGCATGTATATAAATATATATATATAAAAATCAGGTTCAAATGTACAGTTTGACCTGTGGCCAGCATTTTTCACCATTTTGCTTAGAAGCAGTTACCAATCATACTGATAAAAGTGAATAAAACCTCCTCTCCAGTGTTTTACTTACTGTTGTCAGGTGGGCTGCTAGCCAGTAACTCTGGGGCAGGGCCACTGCTTTTCTCTGCCAGGTCTATTGCCATCTGAATGTCCTCAGTCCACTTGTCCATTTCAGAGCGGGTACTAACAATGAAAATTCAGGTTTTATTCAGTTTCATACAGGCTGGAAGCAAACGCTAAGAAATAGTCACAATCTGAACTTACTTACTTTCAATTCAAATAAATAAATTACAGAATCACAGAATGGTTTGTGTTGGAAGGGACTTAAAGCTCATCGAGTTCCAACCTCCTGCCGTGGGCGGGGACACCTTCCACTAGACCAGGTTGCTCCAAGCCCCTGTGTCCAGCCTGGCCTTGAACACTGCCAGGGATGGGGCATCCACAGCTTCTCTGGGCACCCTGTGCCAGAGCCTCACCAACCTCACAGTGAAGAATTCAGACACAAGATGCTAGGCTTTTTTTCCTAATAACTTAGGTTTGGTTCTGACCCCATCCATTTTTGTTTTTTAAAAGGTGGCTTTCACAAAACAATATGCCTTTGAAATTGTTTTAGGACCAACCCAAAGAAAATGCCACCTCCATGGTTTTCTACCTGTCCTACTGTGAAAGCTGCAGAGCTACACAGTTTATATGTGCATGTTGTCTCCACTGAATTACCTTGCAGCAACAACGATGGACTGGTGTTGACCTCGCAGTGTTAGACAATGAGGAACCCCCCATTCCTCTTCACTTTCTTCTATCTGAGAGAGAAAAGCCCAAATGCAGTCAGATTGCAGAAGTATGTTTTTCTTAAGGTGAAACAGTGAACTGAACAAGCTCTGACCACTGGGGAAAACTAAGAGAAATGCTCACAAACAACAATTCCGAGCTAGGTATTGAGCAAAACCATGGTGGCTTGAGATTGAAAAAGAAGTAAGTTCTGCAACAGCCTCTTATACCAAAAGCATGGCTTTGTCTGCTTAGTTCCAAAACCAGAAGGAAAATAGTGACTTTTTTATCAGAAGAGTGATTAATCACGCAAAAGGATGTGTTAAATGCTGGACACTGCAGCATAACTCAGTTCTGTTGTGAACAAGTCCATGCCAAGTGGACTATCAATAGAGTGGATTTCTAGAAACACGAGATAAAACTTGAAGCTTTGCAGGTGTTCAGAGAAACTGAGAACTTTGGCTTTAAGATACAGAGCTGAAAACATTAGGAAATGTTTTTTAATAGAAATTAGACTGTCGCTCCTATTTACTTGCATTGCACAGGGTGACTATAAGCAATTATGGATGAATTACTTGTAAGAATCACAGATAAATTTATGGTTTAAAAAAAGCCCATCTCATACGAAGTTTGCATTATAAGGAAGCTGTCTGCCCAAATGCCTTTTTTTTCCCACTTTTGCTATATAGTCACTTTTGTGTAGAAGGCTGCATGAACACACACCAAACCCAACACACCCCCAACAGGCCCTGGCAAATGTAGCCACAACTCCTCTGAATCAGAGAACAGCCCTTGGCTGCTGCTTTCAGTCCAGCAGAAATTCATCAAGCAATTAAGATGGGACCACAATTGGCCATTTAAGCACAAATCCCTTAAGTTCTCATGATACTTACTGTCATGCCATACAGTGGGAGATGCCCGTGCACTTTGAACTGATTTGATGCTGTCAGGCCTCTACTTGTGTACAACAAGATATCGTTAAACTAAAAAGCAAGAATAAGTGTTACCAGGATGATGTTGGCAAGTATGTACATAGAAAAAAGATATTAGAATGGTAAATATGGGAAAGCTGCCCAGTGCTGGCTATTTATATGGTAGTCCTAATGCCTAATCCAAAATATTGGCTTCCACAGTATTCCAGTACCTAGAACTAGCACCTGTAATTTCCCTGCCTTCCTTCCCAGCTAGTCTCAGGCACATTCCCACTATTTCCCACTGGGTATCTTGTGATGACTTCTAGTGCTCCCTTCATGATCTCTGGGTCAGAACTAAGAAGCCAAAACAGCAGTGAAACCAAGTAATACGTTTCACACTCTGCCACACTTTGAAGCTATGGAAGGTAAGGGTGTTTCATCCATGTTTTCTTCCAGTTTGTGTGAAAAGGCAAGCAAGCACGACAGAGAGAGGTGTGTCCAACGTAACTTTGAAGTAAGTAGCTATCTGTTACTCCCATATTCAGAAAGAGACATGTTTTAATGTAGAGATGGCTTTAGGTTAGAAATACCAAGGGGAAGAGACTGACTATCTCAATTTGTAGAGCAGCAGTTGTCAAAAGCATGTCAAATGACCACCTGCACTGCCATAAAATAAATGGCATATTTTCACTGTGCCATCTGGGTCAAAGGATTTTTGTCTCAATCCAGACGGTTGCATCAAGAAAATCACGCTCTGTGGTGTGAAGCTGAGCTCTCACCACAGTCATCTACAGCCCAACAGCACTAACTCCTGAAGCTATGTGGATCAGCCACTAGAGGGGGATTTAATTTTGCTAATGATTACACATGTGTTTGGAGTCCCAGAATACTGACCCGGGATTTTACCTCCAAAAAGATTCTGGTGCTTGAGACAGACCAAAGGCTTCTTCGCCAGCATGAGAACCTGACTTTAAGTGTTTTATACAGGTATAATATGGAGGCATCATCTGGTAACAAGAATTGTGGTAGACAAGAAAACACGCACCATATTCACTAGGCTTCCTCTTTAGTGCCTTTACAAGCAGAAGGATAATCCTACCCAGGTAGATTTAGCTGTTCTATCTTTGTCTCATTTGAAAGATTAAATGCCAAACGTCCTGTAAAGCCTAGCACACTCACAAGCTGTTTCTACACACCCACTGTCTTCACCTTCTGCATACAAGAAGCTAAGGAAGTATTTTCTTGGACTAGAACTGTAACACTGGACTAAAAGAATCTATGCACTCAGCTGGGTATCCTGCTCAGCAGCAGCAGCAGGATGGGGAGCTTGGGAGCAAGCCAGCTGGTGGGGAAGAAAAAAGGAGGAACCACCTGGACAGTTCTTGTGGATCAGAGACCGACCCGCATAACCTGAAAATGCTGTGAGTGATGGTGGGAGGAGATCACCTTTCCTCATGTGAGAACCGCAAAATGTATGTCCAGGTAAAGGCAGGTCCAATAACATGCTGGGCACTTGTGGGCTGAACCCTGGATAAACTTGGCCCTGTAAGTGCCCTGAGAGCATTATGTGGATTATGGTTCATACCACCAGGAGTTACTCTTTGTCTTCTTTTCTGGATATGATCACTAACCCTGCTGCCACTTTTCATTTTATAATGACTCTGCTTTTATTTAAGACGATGTGCTAGGAGGTATTATTTTATTATTATATTCACAGTGTCATACAAAAATAGCTTCATCTCTTTAAGAAGCAGTTAGAAAGAGAATACTGGGTTTGGACAGAAATGTAAGTTCTTAACAACCAGCTACAAAGGCTGCTATAAATTAATATATAAATTTATGTTAACTTAAATAAGGCTGTTTAAAAATACTTGCTATAATTCACAATTCGACTCTAACAGTATGTCTAATAGTTGCCTATAGTTACATTTCATTATACAAAGAAAAACTGTCTTCTTGCTTACCAGAAAGAACATCCGTTGCTGTAAACCTTTTCCAGACAACTTACTGAGGCTGCCCAGTCGAATGAACTCCTGTGGGAAACAAATACAAAATAAATATGTATCTTCAGGAAAAAAGATTACCATTATTTACTGTGCAAACATAAATATGACTACTTGGTCATGGGACTGACTTGACTATCAGTTACCAAGACATTTTCTTTTCTTTATTATATATGTTAAAAATCTTATTTATAGCACAATTTCTTTCTATCCATAACTGTCTTTAGGATAAACTCCTCCATAGTCTTTAATTCACTTTCAGAAAATTCAGCTAAGCAAAATTTTCTTTACCCAACATAGATTCCTTCAGACAGCTCCTTCTTTCCATTTTAGGTATGTTTCATGGTACAAATGATGTTAAAACTAACTGTAAGTTGGCCTGTATGTTACTGGTTAGCCACTGGAAAGTTTCTGTTGTGTGTATGGCATGCATTCATTGAGACATAAAAATCAGCTACACAAACCAACATCACCATCAGGAATGAAGGAAATTTGTCTGGCAGTGTGAGTTATCTGGGTGCTATACATGTCCTATCATACAGTACGTTAATTCAGATCAAACTGCTGAAGAATGTTTAGGGATGGAATTACAGGAAAAGTAGCACATTTGAAACTTTCAAAATGCTGAATTTCCTGAGCTTACTGTAAACTAGACTGTAACTCACCCTTCCACTTACCTGAAACCCATCAAAATACCATTTTCCAGTCACTCCCTCCAGCTTCTGCCAAGAGGGTTATATTTATTTATTACAGTCTTTCTAAGGTCATTCTACTCGTAATTGTGAATATAAAAGACATATAAAGCATCAGAATCACCTGCAGCTTAGATATAAACTTTAAGTTTAATCTGTTCAGAGAGACACTCTGGTTGCCTTAGGGTTGCTGTGACGTGTCCAGTCCCTCTACCTGCATTGTGTAAAGGTTAAGGGCTGGAAAAAGTGGCTAGAGGTGGTTATCCCTATCTCAAGGTAGGTTCATGTAACCAGAGGGGCCAATGGAAGCTGTTGCTGGCCACCAAAGAATATTAATCTTGATTAAAATGTATATGGTGCCACCTAATAGCCACTTGCAGGCTTAGCACCACCGTGTCAAGCACTGTGCAACGACATGAATCAAGAGCCGCGGGTCACTGCAACCTGCAAGCACAATCGACCATGGGATGTTTTAACATCCAATAAAGCAACCAGCTCAGTGGAGACCGCATTCAGGGACAAGTGGAAGAGGATGATTACCTACAGCCTCCTTTAGAACAGCTGAATCACCAGCCTAACATGAGACTTCTCCTCTGAGATATGGAATTCAGCCACCTTAGAGTAAACACAGCTGTGGGTGATAGTGGCATTTGCCTCACAGCCCAGCCTGCACTGGGGCAGGGACTTCAGTTGGAGCCAGAAAAGCTGCCAAAGGGCTGGAAGCAGCAACATCTTGGGCATGTGCCAGAGTATAGTGGCCAATGCTTTCTGCCTTGGCAGGCAAACAACTTCTGCCCCCCGTCTGCCTTTTTCTTGAACTTCCTATGACAGGAAGACTGCTTGTTCTTTAAATAGAAGAGGGTAGCAGAAACACCCGATGACAGCCTTTAATTTCATGTGATAGAGATGCACAGGCTGTGAGGGGCTTGCCAAGGAAGTGAACGTCTGTGGATCGCTGGATGGAGGCATGAGCTATGGCGGATGCTTGGGAGACAGGGAAGAGGCAGAGTGAGGGAGTGGGGAACAACCACAAATCCAGAAATGCCTGTGCCCGCCACTGCCTTCACAATGAGGCATCAGCTTCAAACCCCTTTGTCTGCATGTTTGAATCCTGAAATGAACTAGACCCTAGAGAGCTCAGCAAGCTGTCCCCTGCCACAACACTGCTGTGACACTAGACATGGACATGGCACGGCAAGCAGAGCAGCTATCCTGTGGGATCTACCAGGGCTGGGTGGACACAGTGGAGAGCAAGTTCAAGGGCTGCTGTATTTGCAGTTCAATGCAAAACTCATCTTTCTTCCAAGCTGTTTCCCAGAAATACATAAGGGGGTGAGAACAGTCTAGCAATGCATTTTACCCACCATTTCAGTTGCTGCAAGTACCGTTTTTGTTTATTACACACAGAAGTCAGGGAGTGGGAGGACATTACTTCAACAAAAGAAAACTTTCAGGTTTACATGTACAGGTACCTGCACCTAGAAAAGTAAAAAAGGCTACAAATATTACACCGAGGCTCGTTTATTCTGAAATAAGCCTCTGTTCTCAAAAAAAGCCTTGACAAGTAAGGAAAAGATGTTGGTATTTTTATAACACAATTAAAAGTGTTTACTTAAGGCAACACGGTCTCAAAAAGTACTGCCTAATGTTACATGTAGATTAAAGAGACTGCTTGTTTCCCAGGGCTAAGAGTTTCAAAGCTAAGCATCGTGAAAGGGCTGAAGGTCCTCCAGAGCTAATGTCTTACTTTTCCTTTTATCTGCCATGCTCTAGCACCGAGGGTTGGAAAAAGCAAAAATTCAGGGCAGCAAGAAATAAGGAAAGGTGCAACCGCTCAAGCTTTGAATGCTGTGATAAATATTACATTTTTACCACCTCTGAGGTAATAGGTATTTGGAATTGCCTAAACCATCCAAATCTACACATAAGATAAACCTAATAAAATCAGTAAAAAGGTAATAAAGATGATTGCTTCTTCCTACTTTAAAGGCTGCTGTTTTCTACAGTATTATGCTGTTTATGTTTGATAGTTCTTGGTGAGGAGAAAAAGGAAAGGCAGTTTCACAGCTGCTCCTAAAAAACAGGCTTCTAATACATACCTAATGCTTTGAAATTGTAACAGACCTTGACCACAACTCTGCTACTTACCCTTCCTGGGATCACCAGATTGTCTATGCCTATCAAGTCTTTCTTGAGTTCATGCAGCTTCTGGAAGTTCTCCATCTTTATCATATTGCCATGGAGCTGAGCCACCATTTCAGAAATCTCAGCCAAAGCAGCTAGATGGACAAAACCATAAAATGTTTATTAAAAATGTACAAGAACATTCAAAAAGAAGGATGGCTTTTGTCTGCAGCACCCAGCTTATGAACCTCACCCTTCTTGTGTTACCCTTCTCTTTCACAGTGGAAAGCTACTGAGGCAGACTAAAACCCACACAAACTCTGGACATCATCTTATGGTGCAGAGGGGAGAGGGTGCAGTGTTGTAATGAAGAGACAGCCTATTTCCTCAACCAAAAGTTTGCTCTATTTTAGCCACAGGGACTTTGTTCGGAATACTCAAGTCAATTTGGTGCGCCAATGAATAGGTTCTCCTAAAGGACATTTCCAATTAATCTAGGGATCTTCTCTATGCCTGAAAAAATGTGCATTTTCCCCCTGCTTGCAGCAGACTGGGTCAGGTCCATATTTGAAAACACCAGGAAATGGCAGTGCCATTTACTGTATCATTTCAGATAGTAAACAGTAACTCTGGGGTTTGTCCTCAGACTCAGCAATGAGAACAACTAAAAGAGCTGCATGCTGCTGGGTTGCATCACATTCTACTTCATTCTCTCCAAAGACACTACCAACAGCGAGTGACCTAACACCTGGGAGTGATTTTTCTAAGGAAAACCTCCAATGCTGAAGGGGATTTTTGCTGTGTGAAGGATTGCATGGGAGGAAGCAGGCATTGTGAAGTCCCACTGTGGCAGCAGAAGCCAAATCCAGCACTCAGAAGACCAAAAATGGCAGAAGCCAAAGCGGGTGCAGGCTCCTGCCAATCTGCTTCCTTTGTCTTGTCTTTTTGCTGTGCCAGCAATGCAGTACATCAGCTCAGAGAACTAAGCTGAAAATCACTTCACCATTTGATCTTTCCTGGGTGACCAGCTCAGGGACTGGCACCCTGTGCCATCAGGTATGTGAGCACCACCCTTGATACACCAGGATGGATGGGCAGTCTCTGAATGGGCTAAACACACTTTAATGACTGATTTTAGCACTAGGAAGAGCAGTTAAGAGTCAGTTAAAAAAATACAGTCAAGGGAACAGTAACAGTGCTTTTTTCTCCCCTCTTAGATCATTGCTCAGTGCACAGTTCATCCATTAGTGGGAGACCTGTGCTCTCTGGTGGGATTCACATTCACATTTCGCTTTAACAAAAATCTGCAAACACATTAGTAAGAGACTGATCCCAGAGCAGTGGTGTCTTTGAGTCACACTGTCCTTCTCATGCTCTCTAATTTTCACCCCTGAATTCTGTGTTAATATCCATTTCAAAAGTGTAGCTGGAATCAAACCTTGATAGGCACTGCACTCTGTGGGGAGGTGGGATCAGACACATCATCCTCATTTCCTAACCTTGGCTAGAAGAAATGAAGGCACTACTTGCTACATTCCTTGAGCTCATTCAGGCCGTAGCTACATCCGGGCAAACATCTGTGTCACGCAGCACTTCAGTGCCACAGACCTCTGTGGCATTTCCTATTGCTACAGGTCAAGTTACTTCTGCACTTTGTGCGTTGCCTGCTGTGGGTCTCATCACATGGCATCTAAAGGAACTTAGGCAGCTAACACCTTACAGCTGGGAGCAGTCACCCTGAGCACTGCTCACTGCCCAAGTCCTTCCATGGATGTGCACTGAGTGCTGGCTGCATAGATAACATATAGTTGTCTTTAAATAGCTATACTACTCTATCTAGTAGTACTACAGTAGATAGCTTGCAATGGGGGTGGGGGACGGGGTGAGGAAAGAGGAAAACAAATCACCAGAAAGAAAGAGCAGGCAGCGAGTTCAGGCTGCAGGAGGAAAATTTCTTCACATTTAGAGAAAAACCATGTTGGCAGCTTTGTGTTCCTGAAACAAATCATGGGAATGGGAATAGAGCAAACTGTATGTCTGGGGAAAAAAAGACAATATTAAACAGCAGCCATACTGGGTCAGACCAAAGGTTCACCTGGGCCAATATTCTGTGTTCCTAGCGGATCTCTAGGGAAATCCAGAAACAAGCACTTATGGTAGGTTCCCTGCGTTCTCTCCCAACCTCTCCACTGTTTTCAGTTCAAGGAACTTCCTGAACTGCATGTCATTTCTGTGTGTTTAATAACCCCCAGCAGATTTCTCTTCCAAGTTCTTGTCCAGATTATGACACAACGTGTATACAAGAGCAATCTTAATCCTACCATTTCTGGCTGCCTGAGTGCTGGATTTTGAAACTCAATCCTCCTTCAACACAGGCTTAAATTGTCTTTTTTTTTGCTTTTGTCCAGCCATGCACCTCTAATAGATTTGGATGCCATTCCCCAGCTCCAGGAATTGGAATCTTCTCTTACTTACCTCTTGAATCCCTGAAGTCAATGTGGCTTGGTGGGTAGTGTTTGCAAAGCCTCTCCATTATCTGCTTGTAGTGCATCAGCCTGTGTAAAGGTCTGAGAAGGAAGGTGTTGAGAGGCAAGTAGCAGACTTTCTGTAGCTCAAAATCTCTGCAAAAGGTCTCCAGCTTGCGAGAGTTCTTGATCCCGTTCTCCAACTCCATTAAAATCTCATTGTGCTTCCACAGGTGAATTGTCAGTTGCTTACATGCATAAAGAAAAGAGCATGTGGTAGAGCTCTTAGCAATTACTGTGAGGCATGACTCAGCCCAAACCCATTCCAATAAAAAACCCAACTAGCACAGCATTTGGGATTTTGCAAACCAAATTGCTGTACAGCACAATGGCTCTGATATTCGCTTGAAAAGAAGAAATGGCATTACTCATTTCAAGTGTACCCCCCATTCCCTCTGCATTCCCTGTAAAACAAAAGTACATGAGCAAACAAGACTAAGTCTCACATCAGTGAGAAATCTAAGGGCAAGATGATGGATGACAAGAATATAGCTCATGCAAGTAGGTGCAACAGGGAGAGAACCAGACAATGCGAATGCAGAGCTAAGAAACCAAATGGGATTTTCTAGGAGGATGAAGGGATTTAGGTGCCCCAGTTCACTTAGGTGCTTTTGGGGAACTGAGATGCAGGCAAATGGACTTCTAGCTCTGCTCCCCTGATATTAACGGGAAGTTGCATCTCTTGGGAATCTGAACAAACACAAAAGCAGAGGCACTGTCTAACAGAAATCTTTGGATTACATCCTTTTCTGCTTAGTACAGTTTCTAAGATGATCTCACTGGCAGGAGGGGACTTATGCATCAGCAAGTGAATGAGCTTTGCATGAAATAACATAACTTCACTTAGGTCTCAGTATCACAGACGTTCATGAGTCCTATTTAAAACAATTCAGCAGTGTATTTTAGTCTGCAAAGTTTTCACAGGCTCCTGTGCTTGCCTTCCATGCTGTGTGTTCAGCAGCACAGAGCACCAAAAATACTACTCCAGCCAGACTAAGAAACAGATGCAAAGTCTGCAGAACATTACACCTGGATTTACAGTTCATATATGTACTTTTGCTTTCAGCTTTAAAGGGATCAAAGGCAATTATTTATTCAAATACTTTTCATCTACCTTGGCACCATAATGCACAAATACAAGTTTCTCAAATCAAATCAATATCCAGGTTACGGTCACTACTCCTGCAGTATCTTAACACTTATATTTGTGTGAACAAATAGGCGCACATGGCATTTGAACAGTCTCTTCAGCCACACAAATTCCTCTCTTTTGCCTTCTTATTTGACAGAAAAAAGAACTGGAAATGAAATGTTCCTGAACTTTCGTGTTCGTTGTTCCTATATTTGGAGAGTAGAATGAGGAAAGAGGCTGGACAATTTAAAATCAGCTTGCAATTCTGAAATCTCAGGGCTCACTGAATGCTTGCTGCTTCACCAAAGGAAACTTCTACAGCATAAGCCTTGATTACAATTGGCAAAGACCAGCAAAAGAGGCAACATCACATGAAAATGAAAAGCACACTAATGTTAATCTGTGTCAAAGCTTAATAGTTATAGGATCATTCCTACCTTCATACTCTGAATGTTCTTTAGCATAACATCTCCAATTCTTTGGTAATCTCCTTTAATGTGAGCATTAGAGCGGCCTTCCCTGTCAGCAACAGAAGTATCACACACTTTAATCATGCAATAAACCTCCATAATCACTTGTAAGCACAGAAAAGGACTCAATAGCTCATTTCTTTTAAAATCCTGACCCCCATGCTCCTTTGCTGGGGATTGTGTGAGGAATCTTCCTGATGAACATGTAATTCCCAGGTACAGGACACCTTTCACCCAGCCCACCTTGCACTCCTGGCAACAGAGACAGCAGGCACTTAGCAGAAGAATTAGACTTCTAAAGACAATTGCTAGTGTTTTTAAACACACCAGAGAAGGCTGGAAATGGCTGGAAGGAAAGGAAGACATAAAATCCCATGACAATATGTAGGCCTAGAAGAGAAGGATAATTCATCCTGTCTAGAAACAAGGACCACACCCCAGAACAGGACCCGCAGGTGTTCCTCCTCTGAAAAGCTTTCTGCTTGTACAAGGGAGAAGGGGACAAAAACCCCCAAATCCATCCAGCATCTGGGATTGACTCGTAAGTGTTACATACTGGCAGGAATTTTCTTTCAGTGTGTCACTTCTGGTATTAAAAATGCAAACTGCTCCCTCCCACCCAGCCAGCTGCACTTGGGCGAGCGCTCCGTTTTGATAAATCCCAGCTCCTGATGAGAAAGATATTCCTGCTTCTAAACCCATGTGTGAGACAGGCAGGGATGTCACACTCTGACTGAATCCAAACATATCTTCTAGAAAACAGGAGGAAAAATCATGAATGTAAGAACCTGTTACAGATCTGTTCTGACCAAGTTAGGTTTTCAAAAGAAAATCACTAGAGGGGTGTGGGGAGAAGCACTGTCCCGCTCCTCTTTCCAGCTTCTAATACTGCATCCAAATTTGCTACAGTGTGGCTTTTTACATGCTGTCCTTCAGCTCCCACATCCGAGCACTGGGAGACAGATCCAGTCCTGGTGTGAGCAACTGCAACTGAGTCAAAGAAATGCACTACCTTGGTAGCGGGCAGAAACATAATCGAGCTGTAAAAGAACCCAAAGGTTAACAGGACCTTTGTTTTGGGTTTTACCCACTTGCAGTAGTTCACACTTTAAAGAAAATTCTGTGTAGTGAAGGAGTAAGTGGACAACCAGGTGGTAAACCTCTGCAATTTAGTCAGAGAGGTCCCACACTCACCAGATCACAGAAGATGCAGCTATTGTTAGGAATATACTTTCACTGGTAAAACACATAGAATTTTTTTTTTCTTTAAATCCCTAACATTACACTAATAGATGCATACTCAGAAATATATTTTCTTTTGTAAAGTCAGACATGGTTATGTTCATGCTGGATGGTCTCTCTGCATACTTTGCTAACCAGGAAGTGTGGAGGGGACAGCTTACGAACACTACACAGTAACATCTCCTATTTTACCCTTCAACAGAGAGACTTGGTTGATAAACAGGGATTGCTCCATGTCCATTTGAACAATATCCAGTTTCACAGGCTGTCTTTAATTATTTCCTATTGTGTTACTGCTCCCAGACATTCAGATGCCTATTTAAACAAGAAAAATACAATTCTCAAGACTTTTTATGGGTTTTGTTCTTTTCTGAACCCAAAGATTACACTGGGGTGAGAAGTCATTTTGTGTCAATGGTACCTTTAATTAGCATCACCAGTTTTGCAAAAGCATTACCTTATGTAAACACTGCCATAGCTAAAACAAGCCCCAAGAAATGTTCTATATTGCAAGGAACAGCAGAGGTATGTATGGACATTACAAGACTACAGTCTCCACACAACCTGAGGATGAAAGTCCAATTTCTCTCTCCAGGAAGCCTCTGCCTGTCAAGTCATGTCCCCTCTATGCTGCTCCCTGCTTTTCCCTTTCCCCACGTCCTATCCATTCAGCAGCTCTCCCTACAGAGATTTCCTCTGAGAGCTTGTAAATATAACCTCCCAGCCCCTAAAGCTCTGCTCAAAGTGGCGTGTATCGAAGTGCTCCCGACTGAAAACCACAACCATTTGACGTCCAAGGCAGTAGCACCGCACAGGCAGGGAGCAAAGGGAAGTCGCCCTCCACCCGTGCAGCCAGCATGCAGCATCCCATCCCAAATGGTTCACACTGTGCTGCTGCACACAATCCCAGAAATGCCAAAGCCAGATGAACTTGTGCTGCTGTCAGTAACAACGTGGTATTTGGTAATTATCTCCAGAAGAATTCTTGCTTTATGTGTTATTCTCTAACTCTCTGGCACTGCCTGGATCTTTTCTTATGTCTCTACCTTTGATTTAATCTAATGGACTTCAGCAGTTTGGTAACTTTCTGATTTACTGCCAAGATAAATATTAAATACATCATGACAGACTGATACTTCTAAACAGAAATTGCTATTCTGATCTCAAGGCTACAGTACAGGTTGGATCGAATACTCATTGCAAATTTCTTCTCTACTAGCTAGCTACTCAAAGGCTGACCCCAAGCCTACTGAAGTCCTAGTGAGTGCTTCCCCTGACCTTGTGAACTTCAGCTAGTACTCAGTGCAGTTGTTCATTGAACAGTCAGGTCCTTATTTCCTAGAAGATGACCGCCTGACCCCTCTTCAGCACAGGCAGCACTGGCTGCCTGCACAGCATCTCATCACATCAGTCACACGCAAAGCATCAGGAACATTCCCCTTCACTGGCTTTGGACACAGACTGGTCCGAGGGTTTTTTTTTAAAGACTGAGGGCTTTCAAATCTTACCCTGCATCTTGGCAGAGTGACAAAGAAGGACAGAAGGGGGTTCCTCAAAAGCAACAGCCTCTCTCCAGCTGCTGGCTGAACAGTGAGAAGAGCTGAGCTGTACCAGAGCCCTCAGCCCAGGCCAGCGGATAACCTGTGCTGCAGGCAGATGCATACTGGAACAAGTAAAACCCTAGGAAAACCCAGAAATGTGATGACTGAGTATTCCTCCTGGTTCCAGCCATTCTCCTTGCTTTGGTTATTTATTTCCATGCAAACGCTGTCTCTTGCAACAGAGATGATTTTCTCACTGGGGATGGTGCATACGCATGTGGGCTGTGATGTGGAGCAGAGGAGCAGGGAAAGCTGAAGCCAGGCATGGGGGAACATGATGACTTCACATCTGCCTCCTAAACTCCATCTGTCCTGGGTTCAGCTGAACCCAGGACACCATCCTGTACTCCACCCCAGCTCTTTGCCAGGACTCCACAGCAATCCCAACACTACACCACCCTCTTCCACAGCTACTCAATGGTGCAAATCCCAAGTAAACAAGAAGAAAAGAAATGCCAAGAAAAGAGCAACCAAACACACAGAATATTAAAATAAAACCCAAACACCCGACCCATCAGATGGCGTCTTACTGCTTCAACAACCTGAAGCACAGCAGTGGAGAAGAGAGCTCTCCCTGTGTGTATGTGCTGAATAACAACACTCATTGTGCTGGGGTGGGGGGAAAGAAGCTGCTCATTTGTTGTGCATCGATGGCTAAATTGTTCTTCTCACTCCCTGTTTTCACGGGTCACTGTTTGAACATGGTATCTATCTGCCAGTGACAAGGGACAGAGCTCAGGGACTAGGTTCTTACAGATTTTTATCAGGAGCTGATTCTGACCTGACACTGCGCAGAAGATGTAGGAGCCGCCTTCCCCACGCATAATGTGCCCTCACTCCACTGACATTGTGGGGGAGGTCTAACGCCACTGAAAATCATGCTGAATAGTGGAGACACTATTCTATAATAAGCTAATTTCTCATTTTTCTCCAAATAGTCCCTTCCTTTTTACAGTAATGCAAGTGTACAAACAAACAAAGAGGAGGACACCAACTGTTATACCTCATAAGAGACTCAGACACTACCTTGCATGTTAGTAAAAATGGCCACCAGCTTGACGTACAGGGACTACACAAGCAGCTATGTTGGATTTTTGAATTACATGAACTTTTCAGTGCACATAATTGAAAAATTAATGAAAAGAAATCTCAGGTCAGCCCATACTACCCTCCATCACCCAAGAGTGGTAGTAGAAGGAACAGAAATTTGATGGGAATGGTGGGAAGGCAAAGAAGTAGAGAAAGATATCTCGACAGATCTTCTCAGGTGAACATAAAAAACCTATGATTGCAGCCCTTCAATTGCAGAAAAAATAAAAAATAAATTGCAGCAAATTATATTTACCACGTTTAACCTTTTGTTAGATGCTCAGGAACAGCATCTCCCTGCTGGTGACTGTAGCTTGTCTTTGAGCACTTAGACGCTTTTGGCTTTTTAGGAGTGTTATTAACTAAATTGCTGACATTAAGAAATACCTTAAACATACCCCATTACAAAAGCCTTTTAAATAAGAGGAACATTTTGTAACTGGAAAAGAAGAGTTCATACAAGCAAAACACCCTCTTCCTTGCACCCACCCTGCTATTACATAGTGCCTCTTACTGCCCTGCCCATTCCAGCCCCTGCTGCAGCTGTCCTGTCAGCAGTAAGTGGTGTATGAAATGTTGCTCAAAGCCTAAGAAATGTACTGCTGAAGCCACCAGAACTCCCCAGATTCCCATCAAGCCTTTGAGGAACATTCATGCATTTGAAGACTTTGGGCTGGCTAGCCCTGTTGTGGGATGAAACCCAATGTACAGCAAGCATGTGCCAGTAATGCTTTTGAATGGTTAAGATATTAGAGCAAGTAACACCATAGCATGGAAACATACTGAAATCACAACACTTCATACCTTGCCATGGCATGTCCTCAAAGGTGATCCTGGGCACATCCCACCAGGAGAGCAACGGAGACAAACGTAACATGGTGCTGTGGTGTGACTAATGGAACCTGGACAAGCTATTTCTCTCCCATGATTTCAAATTCATTCGGATGTAGCAGGCTCTAATCCCCAGAAGTACCCAAAAGTGACTTCAGCAAAGAAACTGTCCTCTCACAAGCGAGCCCAATGCTCTGCCACCAAGCCCCTCTTAGTATCTTTGTCTTAGGAATCCACGCTGCATTAACTCCAAGGTTTGTACTACAATACATACCTCATTTCTGTA